TTCGTCAATTTTAAAGCCTGATTTAATTTGATTTTGCCTTGCTGGATTTGGGAAATAAAATTTGCAGCTGCAACTGCTCCAGAAGTAGATCTAGGGAAAATAATAATAATAATTGCGTGTCAAAAGAATCCTAGCAATCTGGTACTTGTAAAGATATAACTTTCCCCTAGCATACATTTGATCATTTGGGCCAGAAGATATTTACCTTTACTCCATGTTCCTGCTAGTCTTATAAAAACCCACACAGACCGAAAAATCTGCATCTGCTCCAAAATGTGAAGGAGTGTTCCACAGCTAAAGTCTCTTGCTGTTCGCAGTGTACATGCTGCAATATCACACAAGGCCAATGAATAAAATGTTTACCATCCCCAGCAAGGAATGGCATGTGTTCCCTTCAGCCTTAAGGATACATATTTCAGACTAAGGTTAAAACAAAACTGCGCTTTTCTCGTAGTGGCTACAGGAGCAGCTCCATTTGATTTCTGGAACAAGGCACTGCAGTTCTTCAATTGATATTACTGTGTCACTTGTCAATGAGCCACGTACCTGAATGCTCTTGGGTACATATTCTATTGCAAATGTGAAACAAAGCATATTAATGTAAACTGTTATGAAAGGAATTAATATTACACTCATCTTGCTTCACAGTAAAGTCAAAGCAGATACTTTCCATTTCTGTGACTGCTGAATAGCGGGAATTAAGCTGAAACAAAATGAGGTGCTGGAAACAAACCTTCCAGTTTTTCCATGTATATATGCAGCTATGAGAAACATTTTGATGCCATAGAATAGGAGTCATTGCTTTGAAGAAAAAGCAAATATAAAAAGTGCACATACACACACAAACAATTCAGAAGATCTATGGGATTAGAAATTCAAGTAATATCCTGTTACACAGGTAACTTTATCTTGCCTGTGCTTGAACATTAAAAATACAGTTTAAGGAAAAAACTTATTATTTCTATTTTCCTAGTCTTTATTTGACAAAGCATTGCACTGTGAAAACAGACCCTACCCATAACAATTTCTGAACCAGCGTGAACTAGTTCTGAAAATAAATAAGGCTTTTTCTTTGGAAGCTCGTGCTGGCAAAATGGTCTTGATCCCAAGATACTAAGAGAAGGACTGACCTGTGTCTAGTACATGATTTATTTATCTTTTAATATCATGGTTCCTTGATTCCAAACTTGGGCAGGATAATTCAGTTCCCACAGCTTTCTTGCTTTGAGTGGTTCTCCTGGTTTGTAAGACAAAGCTCCTGAGTCAAACAGAGATCTGAAGGGCAGTTCTATGGCTAGGAATATTATACTCATTGTAATTGGAGTCATATCTGGAGTTCACACCAGGAGCAAAAATCCTTTCATGTCTTATGCCAGAAGATCAGATCCTAAGAAATCTGACAGCTTCAAAGGTGTTGGTGTAAATTTGCTAAACTTCACATACAATGCTAGATAAAGTTCCCTATTCTAGATAGCATTGCATCTAACACTGTTTTGCCATTCATTTTAATTTGTTGTTGTTTAAATACCTGTCTCTAGCATCCATAAAGTATGTATGCATGCAGAAGTGATTTTTGTAAAGTTCTAGCATCCCTTGCACCAGAAGTAATGAATTTTAAAACATTTGCATACTCATAAATAACATACATTGTCATGAGCTTCACAACGTTTTTTTTCCCCTCATAGACAATTTACAGCCATTGCAAACAAGGAGTCTGAGAATAGCATGAGCTCATTGTTCTTTTCAGAAGGGCTTAGGGATTTCTAATGTCCGCAAAGTACTTAAGACTTAATCTTAGCGCTTATGCAGATCATTTCTTGCAGCACTGTGGAGAAAATAGAAATTGACAAAATAGCTCTTCTGAGATAAATAAACTCCAGATTTAATGCAGTTTGAAAATCAGGTGCTGTGGAGTAATGCTCCAAAATAGCTTCAAAGACAGTCACCCTTGCAGGTGCTGAATACTTGTGGCCCCTTTTCTCCTCATGCTTAGCTTCTTGTTTTTTATTGATTGTGTGCACTGCTCTTCATTTTATCTTTCCTAGCAAATACCATCCAGCAAAACAAACTTGTTTAAAATTCCTGTTCTTACAACTTGGTTCCATTTACAGGAAAAAAAAGAAGTATACAGTCCTGAATGTTTTTAATGGCTTCCAGCAAAATATTTTTCTTACAGTCTTCACTCTTACTGTTATCTCTCCTTTCCTGATAAGTCTAGCTAAAGAAGTTTTTGTCAGATGACATGGATTACATTGTTCTGCTTCCTTTCATGTGAGCTCTGTTTCCCAGAATTTTGCCTTCTGTTGCATACAGTGCAGATTTGTCTTTTTTCCCCATCTATTGTTTGGCAGGTTGTTGACTTTGTTGTCATTGTAATGGGTATCTTAATGGCCAAACTGCTGTAGGAAAACATTTCAGAGAAATTGAACTAATTGGTATAGAGACTATGCCACCCAGAAAATGGCATGGTCTGTTGCCTCAGAGAACGTCACTTGCTTTTCCATGTTTGTTTAGATAGCATATTTACTTGGAACATGTTGAGACTCCTGCTTAAAACATGAAGAAACTGTTGCAGCCATTCTTTACGTCTATGAGACAAACCTCATTTTAAGCAGCTGAAAGACAGTAATCACTTAAGGTGAGCTTCAAAATTATAACCACATGCAATGTTTTGAACCAAATTTATGTCTTTCCAACTTACAATCATTGAATTTCTTCATATGTATTAAGAATATTAAACTCATGGACTATTGGTCACTAACACAGCAGTAAAAAATTTTTACTTGGATAAAAAGTCAGCACTTGAATACAGGCAATTTCTTCCAGGGCATAAAATCACAATCAGACCTGTATTGGATTAGTACAAGGTTTATCACTGAATTCAAACTGCAGAAGATCAAATTCAATATGGAGAATCAGATCTATCCTCAGATAAATGAGAACTAAATAAGAGATTTCAGGATTGACATGTGAAAATTTATAGAAATTAAAGTCATCTTAAAAAGCTGGACTAAGAAAACTGCATTGAGAGATTTCTAGCTTGATCTTTACTGAATGTCACCTGACTTGCTGGAACCAATCTCTTCTCTTAAAGCAAAGTACCTCCCTCCAAAGTCCATTGAATACAATGTGAGACTTAATTCTAGGTAGGAACAGGCCCCTCTAAGAAATCTCTAATACTAGATCATAGTTCATATCTTTCACTCATGAACCATCTGAATTCAGTAAGTAATGCTGGGAGTAGTTCTGTAGTTTGCAAGTGCTCATGGTCAGTAAGTAGAAAAGTTAGGCTGGAATATAAGACTATTTTGTAATATTCCTCATTTTTTAACCATAAATGAGAATTTGGACCCCCAAATAATCATTTCAGGATTAAAAAAATTTGCCTGAACACCTAAGAATGGCTTAGGATTCAGTATTACTGGGCTCTATGTATGGAGAAACCACCTTGAAATGCTGATATCTCCTGTGTAGTTGCAAACCAGTATTTAAAATACTTGAATCTCCTAGCAGGGAGTTGTGTAGAAAACAAACAAATCTTCCATTGAGAAATGATGATTCTCCTGTAGTACAAAAACTGCTCAACAATGTGATTACAGAGATTGCTATCTGGTTTCAAGATACAACGTTGTTTTCAATGACACAGTGGGACTATTTTGTTAGGCTACCACTGGGGGAAAAGGTTCCCATCACTGCCTTTGTTGTAGAATGTCTTAATCCTTTGTCAGGACAGCAATGTGACACAGACCCACAACTAAATACTTCTCTGTATTAGAAAATAATTAAGGATGTATTTTTAAAAAACGGGAGCAAACAACAATAGTAATATTTAAGCAATAATTAATAGTGGGTTAATGAAGCAGGAGCTGGACACTTTCACGTTACATTTTTTTCAAAGGAATACAACAGATAATCTAAAATGCATTTTGCATTTTAGGAATATCAATGCTGAGTTAAAATATACATAGTTAATAAACATGGATTATGTTAAATAGTCCAAATTAAATTTGTAATCAATCATTTCATTTGGAATACAAAGTTTGAATGGTTATGCATGCAGTAATGTCTGTATACTTCATAGCCAAGAGTAACATTTTATTATTTGATCATAGTTCCATCTGATAAACATTAATATTCAAAAGTTGAAGACTTCTATTACATCTGTAGTATTCCTTTTTACATTCTGCAACTGAAAATATTTCCTGAAGTCAAGTAGATCCAGCATAAATTTGTACAACCAGCATAGATTTGCACTGGAAGTATGCATAATGACTTCCTATACCTTACAGTATTTTTGCACAGGAGCTTCTTTGTTGGTGCATAATTCTGGTTTGCTACAAAATTTCTAGCAAGGCTGGAAATACGTGAGCAAAATCAATACATAACATTTGTATAGTAGCTCCTCTCTCTCTCTCTGATTTCAGGAAAGCAAGCTATACCAGTAAGCAGAAGGTTTTGCTGGCAAGCTAAGAACTGCTGAGCACAGCCATGTAGGTCAGCAATCACATCCTCACCATCTCAGCCAAGACAGATGTAACAATTATTTATTAAAAAATTTGTTCTTTGCTGGAAGTAAAGACTGAGTGGTTTCTGTGAAAGGGGCAGCACTCAGTGTCACCTGTTGACACGGAATGTACAGCCTGCTTTTTCACTTTTCAGAGCAGCTTTTGTGTAAGATCCTGACATCAGACAAAACGTTTTTACTTCTTTAGTCTCAGGACACAATCTCTGAAACCGTGTCACTGCATGGTAACTTGTATGATCTTGTATGATACAAAACTACCCACACTTAATTATATTTTTCCAGCTAAATCATCTAAACTAGCATTTCTTTTCAATTTTGTTTTGTTTTGTTTTGTTTTATTTTAGCAACATTTACCTGTCACTGTGACAGACTTTAAAAAATTTCTGTCTTCTTACTAAGCTCTTTGCTACTGAATCCAGTGTCAACAGCAGTTTGGCCTGCCTGAGAGTGACTGAAGGAGGAAAAGCTTTCTTACCTAATCGAACTGCTGCCAGCATCGAGGTCTTGTGCTGTCACTGCCCCTATGATTGTCCCCACAGGAGTGTCCTCATACACCTCCATTGTATACAAAGGCTTGCTGAAAACTGGAGGCTCATCCATGTCCAACACGTTTATCTTGACAGTGGCAGTGTCTTTGAATGGACCCACTGAGTGAAATCGATGGTCAAGATGGAGATTGGAAGCCTCTACTTTAAAGGTATATGCCTTTTTTGTTTCAAAGTCTAATGGCTGTGGAAAGAACAAAAGCAAAATATCAGCCCTGACTAAAAATTAAATTTTGCAAATTCACCATGGTAGGATTAATCTGTTACAAATTAAGATGTCTTCAGTGTAAACTTCAGCTTCTGTACTGATCATTTAAATTTGTTTTGTAGTCACTGAAGAGGAATAGATAGGACATCTCATGCTAAGGTGGTTTCTGAAATAGTCTAGATTGATCTTGACTGCTTTTTCACATTAAAAAAAAATCAGAATGACAGACATGGATGTAAACAGTTTCTGTAAATGTCTGAAATTAACTGTCTGAAGTTTACCTTTTGCAAAAGAGCTATGTGCATGCTAGTTGGAGATCAGCATTCACAGTTTCCATGCACAGGCAGTAAGCCATCCCCAGCTGATCTAGTTCATTAACAGAAGATTTGAACTTCTTTTAGCCGAAAAGGGAAACATGACAACAATATAAATGATTTCAAGTGAAAACCCTGCTATAATAATGGGTCAAATCAACTTTCACATAAGACTTGCAGTGTGAATTCCTGTAAAACAGTTATCTTAGCAGTGAACTGCTATTCAAGAGGTATATTTGAGAAGCACGTATGTGGAAAATGCAGTCTTTAGTCTGCCTTAAGATCCAAGGTATAACTGCTACCACCTTGAAGGCATCATAGCAGCTTTTGTACCTATCTGAGTTTTTGATGGAAATGCATTCTTCAGTTAGGTTGTTTTCATATGGGTTTGTGTCAATATACGTCAATTTAGTATCTTTGGTTTTAGAAAAGCAATCATCTTGAAACCTTAATGCAGTGATATTTAGTTGAAAAGACACAAAAGCTTTATTTTCAGTTAAAGGGTTTTGCAGCATTGGCTTTCATGTTCTTAATATTAGTTAAGGAAGATTTTCCTGACATCTGGGTAAGACTGGCACCTAGTGGCTTCTGCCTATAATTGTCGAGATAGAAATTTTCCAAATGTGAAAGGATATCTAGAAAAGAGGGCAGGATCACAAGTGTAGGAGCTCTAACATCTTTTTTTTTTTTTTTTTTTTTTTTTTAATTTATTATTTTTTTTTCTCTAGACGTCATTACCACAGTGTTTCCAGCTATTTGTCACAGCTGGGATAGATTTAAATTATGCCATTTTCTGTCCTTTACACAACAAGACATAATTGACCAGATGCCTGGTTGGTGTAAATTGAGGCAGCTCCATTAAAATCAGTGGAGTTACTTTGATTTACATTTGCTGCGATGCTAGCATAATGCTTTAAAATTCTTATGAAAAACATTATAATTTTAATAGAATGAATATTCTATAATATTCATGTTCACTGTTGTATATTACCAAAAAATCCCCCCAAATGAGCAAGCAAAACAAATCTTTATACAGTAGATTGTAATATCTATTAAAAAATATTTTAGGAGAAGAAAACCTGGAGTTCACAGAACCAGTCTGGAGTGGAAAATAAGTAGTTACGAGGGGTTAAGCTAGAGAAAAAGATTAAAACAGAGTAAACAAGAAATCTAAGCTCCCGGATAAATAGTAATTCTAACTGATGCCTTGCTTGCATTGGCCATACCCCCTCAAAATGCACAAAACCTGATTCCTCTTATGCTCAAGTATATTTGAAGACAGGTGTGTTAGTAACAAGAAGCTATTTAAATGTGGTCCTTGAAGGCAGAGTTAAAGGCAGAAGTACCAGTTCCTGGTCCATGGGAATGCCCAGTACACAACTTTCATGATGTAAGGAACACAATCCTTGTCTTGGGATGGACAGAAAGAAATAAAATTCCAGGCAGTTCTCGGCATATTTTACAGCACAATATCTAGAAACCAGACACAGTTTCTGCTTTACTTATCCCTCCCAAGTACTATGAAGAAATGCTGTGGTACATTTTTGAAAAGACAGTTTGCCAAGAAAGAAACACATTTTCCCTTTGTAATGTAAGCAACCAGTTCTCTCCTTCTGTCCTCCTATGGACAGACAAATATAGTTGGAGGTTAAACAGTATTCAAAGCACAGATGGCACTCAAAATAAGAAGACACAGTCTGAAAGAGCTGAGCCATCACCACAGGAAGGAATCAGTGACAGACTCCCACAAAACAGCAGACTATAGCCTTTTAATATACAGGAGATCGACCTGCAGCTCACATGCCTGTGGAAAGGTGGGAAGACTGCAAGCAGTAAACAGGATTTAATTTCAAAATGAAAAATATTTTGTGCAACATGTCATGCAGTAAATGAGTATGGTTTAAAATGATTGTGTTTGTGGGAAGGCCATCTTCTGATCAGTTCTGTACCCAGTTTTGCACGGTCGATCCATGCATATACATACTGACAGTCTCAAGTTTTGGCATTCATCTGTTATGCTTAGAGCCTGCCTTTGAAAACAGAAAACATTCAAAGTCTGCCTAGCTCTCAGAAAAACAAAAATGGGGCTTTAGTTTTGAAGATGTTAGAATAGCATTTATTTATATGCCTTATTTAATAGATTATCACTAAGATCTATGAAAGAAATGAGTGATTGAAACCTAATTTTAGCAGATAGTACCCAGTTCCATGTTCATTTACAGTCTGGAAAGCTGTTAAGGATACAAACCCAGTAGAATGTTAGGGAGAATGTTCCATTCTTAAAAAAAACGTCTTAAAGATTAAGAGATAATTATAGAAAAAAAAAAACAAACAAACAAACAAAAAAAACCATAACAAAACAACAACAACAACAACAAAAACAACTGTTTGACCAAGGCTTTCATTTTAGAATAAGTAGGATTTTTGCCCAGAGTAAACAGCACTACAGATAAAACTAAGGAAGCTTTTAACTATCTGTGGACTACTCAGCAACTATGGGAGTACTTCTACTTGATACTCTACGTGCCAGTGTCAGAACAGATGTATGTGTCCCCCTCTATTCATTCTTGTCTTTTCTGTCATGGCTTTAAGCTGCTCTATGAAGTTGCATAGAGCAACTATCAGCATATCAGCTATCAGCATATACACAGCTGTGTGCAGCAAAGGTGTTTCACAAATCCCAAAATTAAATAACACATAAAGACAAATCACGTTATCTTTCAGTCAGGAAGTACCATGAACGGGTTTGTTTAGTATAATTAGGAAAACACAGAAAAAACTAGTTTAAAAATAAATTTCTTTGTAAACATTACAGTTTTCTGTACTGAAGATAGTGGTGAAGAAAGACTGATACATGCTTCTCATTTTATTTGTACTTTTAATGCATTTTGCATCTTGTATCTATATACACTTATATTAAAGAACTGAAATAGAAAAAAAGGGACAAAAATATAATAAGTTCTAATGAGAAGCACAGCTAGGGCATAAAAAGGACTACCCTGTAAGTTTAGTCTTCACGAAGAGGCAGGGCTGAAAACTCCAGAAATTTCTGGAGACAATAATATTGTTTGTTATATAGCCATTCATGATCTACAACTACAACAACAGAAAAGCCAAGGAAAGAGACTGTAAATCCCAAGACCTATGATTAGTTATAGGCAGCAGAACTGTGTTCTGCACTGAGAGGAAGCGAGTGCTATCTTAGACTTGTCTTCCATACTCTGTCTCATGTGCCTGTCAGAAAGCCTAGTAATGCTTTCCACTTAAAAATGGCTCTGAGTTGTTATATGTGAAATGCAAGCTATTAGACCATTCGCTGCTGTGCACTGACACTTTTCACTAGTTGTATTTCTGCAATGGATTTTAAATAGCTTTAGTAAATAGCTAGTGCTACGGAGTATGTTAGTTAAAGGAATCTCCGGGTCAAACAGAAACATTCATCAGTTATAGAGATGAGAACACACAGTTTAAAAAAAAAAAAAAAAAGAGAGAGAGATCTCTACAACAAACCTACAACAAGCGCAGCAGATCTGGTCAAATCTTGAGTGCTCAGACATTTAATGGAAAGTGGGTAAAATGAATGTGTGTTCTGTATGCAGAGAAGGGGAGAAGTCAACCAGCATCTGGGAATCTCCTGTCTGCTGCCTGAGGAGGAGTTGAAGTGTCATATTTGGAGTATAGCACATAGGCAAGGGAGATGCTTCCAGTTACTCATGACCATGTGGCAAACAATTTTTGCAAAGAATATGTAGCATGGAGAAGGAAAAAGGGGCTGCTTTCAGCACAGCAGGACTGAACCTGGAAGGAGACCAGAAACATCTCTCTCCTGGGTTTTTGGGACATTTTGATTAGAAAAGTAGTGTCTGAGTCAGGGTCAATACTTGAATCCTGCCCAATTTCTGGCTTATGCTGAGGCTTCTGTGCATTTATCCTTGGCTTAATTAAAGCTAGGGCTAACTGTGCAGCAAAGTTTGGATCCTTCTGTTTTCTATTTCCTGCTGTATGTGGTCTTTATAGATCTCAGTTTAGAAAGAACCAGGAGCTTGTCGAGATCTGACTTCTCCTATACATGGGAGAACTGCTCTATGCCCACTATACATTGGTCCAGAGGAAATCGGTCCCTTCTGGCTCCCCACTTCTTTCAGTTTATGCTCTGTGTCTTTTTTTGAGTAACCAGGTAGGATGACAGGTATTACATAAGCATAAAACCCAAAAACACAGTAGAGGACAGGGCTGGACAAGGGAAGAGACTGGCCATTCTATCCCTAGTATGCCAGATTCTTGTATCCTAAAGCCAGACAATTCCTCCTTCTTCAGTTCAAAACATGATTTATTCATTTATTTATTTACTTATTTTAAGAAGGAGAGGAAGCAATTACAGTACTATCCACACAGTGGTGCTAAATGGCACTTTTATCATTTCTTTGGCAGAAGACAATAAATTGCATTCAAATTTTAAAATATGTAAATAGTGCAAGAGCAGCAGTAATCAAGCTTATATTGGATCACAGCATGCAAATAAACTAGCAACCTAGATGAATGATTTAAGACATGTACCTTGCCCAGTTTTAGCTGGTCATGCTTATTCAATGTCTGAGACACTGTAAATGGGCTTTTGTCGCCAGCAATTCTCTTAATGTGCTGAAAAGAGCAATTAGGCTTTTTGTTAGCAAATGTTCCTTCCACCAATGTAAACGTAGTCCAGGAAGGCTTCCACTTTCTTGATTTTGATAAAGAAATGGCTCCATGGGATTTTTTGCATAACAATGCAATCAAAAGGCATCTGTGCAATAGCTGACATTTTTCTGCATGCAAAAAAATTTTCAGGAAAAATATAAGGAAAATTTATAAATGACAAAGATGTACTTGAAATGGCTCAGTGATGGATTACTGCAGTACATACAACATTGGAGTATGCTGTGGTACAGAAACAAGTGCTAATTTGCTTTTAAAGCACACTTTTCATTAACTGTTTTTACTGAGTATTACTTATAATTCACAGTGTTGATCCTATTCATTCACTGACTCTGATTTAAAGAATTATTTAAGTACATACCTAAGGTAAGTACTTGTGTCATCCCAGAAGGTCAAATAAGTGTTTTGAAATTGCTTCTTTGCAGGCAAATAAATAGTGCTGCTGCAGGTACAATATCAGTAGCATGAATTTTAGTAGTTGTCTATTGAAATGTGAATGTCCAGCACTTCTGAAAATCTGGAAACTACAACCCATGAAAATATGTCTGTATTGCTACAAGTGTAGAAAAGATTAAAAGACATCTGAGCTTAAAAATCTGGACTGCTTTTGTTTAACTCAGAATCCAGCACAGAAATCGGATGGATTGTGGGTGATTCCAAAATGTCTTAAACACCTGAAACATTTATGGATTAGTGAAAGGGACTTTCTACTTAAGAAAAAAAAACAAACAAAAAACAAAAACAAAACCACAAAACATGAAGGGTAAGATCTAGGATCTATATAAAGGCACTTATTGCTGAAGAATCCATGTGTTAAAATTTATCTTTTTTTCATGCTCCTGCATAGAACAAAGATAGTCTCCCTGATCTCTGCAGCCCGTCACAGTTCCCAGACTTGTTGTGATGAAGATTAGGAGGGTACTAGGATCATTATTTTTCATTTTTTTCCTCCTCATGTTTTTGGCACAGAATACACTCTAACATAGATTAATACTCTAACATTTCCCTCTGGCAACATCAACCAACTTATTGATTACAAGATCCTCCTGCTATTACAAACGCACTCTAAGGTTTCAGATATGCTGTAAATTATTACTGGAAAGACTAAACAAATCAGCAAAATGAATACAATGAATAACATATCTGTATACAGCATTCACTGTGTTATTTATCACTCCCCCCTCCACCCCTCAAATTGTGGGTCAATTATATGTTCTAAAATTCCTATAAAGTGCTATTGGTTAAAATGTGATCGTCCTTATTTTGGGTCTCTCTTCGTGAATACTTTAATCATCACATTCCAAACAATGTTTATTCTCTCTGTCTTTGAAATCAATATATTTAATAATCTTTCCTTTTATTTTTTTTCTTCTAGTACATAGAGACATTATCAACAGCTAAGTTGGGGTTTACTCCCTCAAATGAATATCTGAAAATCATCCATTTGGGACAGTAAAAGGAGACTAGAGGTAGGACCAGTGGCTTTGAAACCATCTGCAAGTCTTCTAATCCAATTAAGAATTGTGATCACCAAAGTATTGAACAGAAGTTTTATTATTAAAAATAATAAGCATAAAATGTTTAAAAAAATCAAACCAAAATTCTTACAAATAAAAAATGAAATATATGATCCTAAATGTAAAACATTACTTCTTCACTTAATGTTCCGAACCACAGTATTCCCCCCACAATTTTAAAGCAAATACTTCCATAAAATAATTCTTTCTTAGCTTCTCATTTGAGCCATGGGTACACACAACACATCTTTGCCACATACCTTTTTAAGTTTGATGACTCCTTCCTGGGTGTTCTCATCTGTTGTGATGTCAAACAAGTTACCTCCATCTCCTGGAACTATGTTGTACTCAATTTCTGCATTTTCCCCAAAGTCAGGATCCACAGCTCTGATTCTTCCAATAGCAGAACCAACATGAGAGGACTCGGGCACTTTCAAATGAAAGATACCTGCAAGAAAGTAGTAAAATTCAATCTCGAGATAAACAATGTAGCAAAAACATGGAGCCTATACAAAATAAACAGACGTAAAACATCCAATTGAAATAATGAGATCAAAAACCCAAAAGTTTAGAGGATACAAAGGATTAGATAGATCAATGTGTTACCCACCAAATATGCTAATTTCCCCTACTTGCTCATTTTGGAACAATGCGACTGCAGGGATCTTAGCATCTTTCTGTCTTTCTGTCTCTCTTTTTGTAATTTACACATATGATCAACTCAACTGAACTTAATTCTACTTACAGACGGCACATGTTTACAATGAGCATTTACACCCTTCTATGTTCAATACAGTTTTTAGTATCTGAATTCTTATTTTATTTGAGAGCACATATCTATGCATGTCAAAGTACTTGAAAGGAAAAATTCAATAGAAAAAGTGTTTCCACCCATTACCGTAATACTCAGTATTATAATGACATGTACAACTCCTTGTGAGGGGGGGGGGGGAAGACATAAAAAGCTTTGTTCACCTATTGGCCACCAGAGGGCGCACTTAGTAAAATTACAGGGGCAAACGTAAATCTCCAGCTCTGCACATTTTTATTTTCCGCTTATTTAACACTAAGAGTAGAAAAAGGTAAAAACATCCAGAAAAGCATACACTTTTTTAGGAATCATTAACATGTAAGGACAAAATGTTGTCATTCAGAGAAAGAGCAATTTTGCAAAAGTGCTGGTCATAGTGATAAAAAAAGCAAGAAGCAAAGTCTGCAAGCACTTTGAGCCAGTCCTGACTTCAGTTCCATCAGGAGCTGCCCTCACTGTTTGACATCATGCAGATGCACAGTACTGTGCAGGGCGGAGGCCTACCTTCCTCGCCCTGTCGACTGCATGTTTCATGGTCACTGCTATACTCCTGCAGCTCCATCAGAGCAGCCCCATCAGCTTAGCAGAGCACTGACAAAGACTTTGTTCCCTGCATGTGAGAAGGCAGGAGGACATCCACATCTCTTTCTCAGGAGTACAGGAGGACAAGCTTCTGTGAATAGTGGGGTCACACTGAGGGGACATGTCAGAGATTTCCCCCTGGCTGTTGTTTAGTCACATGTCCCACAACAAGGTTCTGAGAAGCTATATATCTGCTGACAGGAGGACAGATGACTTCCACATCCCGCAGCTGAATTAAACAGCATACGCTGCTCCTTGTCGTTTACTCCTTACAGTGCATGCTGTGCCAGCTTTTTGCTTCTTGGTATTTCCAGGTGAAGGAAAATCTGACATTCACATTGCTGGACTAAGAGTGAACCTGCTTTTCTGTGAGCTAATAGTTTGAACCAGAGTACCTATTTAATTGACTCTTGGATTGCCCTGAAAAAATGATTTTTGTCTGCTTCCTTCCTCTACAACTCACTTTACATAGTCTATCTGAAGGCAGTACTGGCTTTATTTGTTTGAGACAATCCCCGTAAGCAAAGTCTGCCTCTGTTAGCTCTGCATTTGGACATTATCATGTGTGGCTTTGTAGCATTCATTGACTGAACTACAAAAGATTGTGTAATTATCATTTCACCATTTTATTCTAAAGTAATGCAAAGCAGGGACATTTACACTGTCTTCTTGTTTTAACTGCTGGAAATGAGCACCTTGATGTACAGTGTTATCAAGACTGAGTAGCTATTCCTTAGTTGTATTTTAATGACTCTAACAAAATTTTGATGTGGTATGCAGGAGACAATCACAAATCCTATTGTGACATAATGTCATTTGCAAATATGCTTATTACTGTGTGTCTGCTGTGGAGATTTCTTCAAAGAGGTGGAAGAAAATATACCCAAGAGGGCTTCACCTACACCTGAATCCCTCTGTTCCACTTTCACTGTGAAATTTCAGAAATGATGTCCATGTCTTTTACAGACACTTGTGCTCATCACAGAAGTCATTGCTGCAGTGTATGCTCTTTACTGACAAATTTTTGGTGAACATAAAATGTAAGAGCATTAGATTTTTCCTTCTTTGTCTTGTTGATATATTCCTAATGAACCGAAGAGCGCTCAGATTCATTAAAACAAACATTTCCCTATAAAATATTATACCTGGTTGTAAAATGTATGGGACTTAGATGAAGTCAAAGAAACACTACATTACTCATTTCAGATTGTTTAGGCCTTTATCAGTTATTTTCAATGACTTGGCATTTCATTACTTCCAGAAATTCAACCAATAAAGATAGGGTCATGCAGATTAATTTGAAACTCTGAAGTAATCCTCAACTCTGCCAGAGTCAGATCTCTGAAGATGCAGTATGTAATTACACTGCCAGCCTTCTCTAGCAATAGCACTTTCATAGTGTGTGGGAACTACTAATTGTGCTATTTCAACAACATACTACTGGAATAAAATAAATCAGAACAAACAATGTATATTGTTGCCAGCTCAAGGAGGAATTTCAACAGGATGTAATGCATAGCATGAAAACCCTTTTTATCTTCAGAAAACAGTCTTTGTAAAGAAAAGAAGACATTTGGAGTGTTTACACATGCTGGACATAAAATGTACCGGAAAGATTATTTTGCAGACCCTTAATATTCTATTTCCAGAAGGCAGTACTTTGTGCTGTGAATTTGCTATGATATTTAAGCATTATGCAATTTTTATTGTCTATTTCTGCAGTATTGACTACTATCTCCATTTGCTGTAGAGATACATTGAAACAAGCTTTCTGCTTCTGAATGTGATTATGATTCTATGATTCTATGAATGTCCTGAAAAATTTATTCTCTGCAGTTTCTATAAATTATGGGACAAGGATCTTGGACAAACTTACATAGCACTGATTATACTGCTTAAATATTTCTATGAAATTTTGCAGATTCTCTCATGGGTCTTCTAGTTGCATAAATCTCCTTTTAATGCTTTTTTTTTTTTTTTTTTTTTTTTTTGGTCATTTTGTTGCTGGATTTCTTAGAGGATGAGCAGCCCTGAGGAAAAGGACTTGGGGATCCTGGTGGATAAAAAACTGGACACAAGTCAGCAGTGTATGCTTGCAGTCTGGATGGCCAACTGTACCCTGGGCTGCATCAAATTGTCACCAGGGTGATTGTCCCCTCTTCTCTGCTGTTTGATGCCCCATCTGGAGTATGCATCCAGGGCTGGGAGGCCTCCAACACAAGAAAGACACAGAGCTAATGGAACAGGTGCAGAGAATGGCCATGAAGTTGATCAGTGGACTGGAGCACCTTTCCTATGAAGAAAGGCTGAAGGAATTGGACTTGTTTAGCTAGGAGAAGAGGAAGGGTCAGGGACCTCACTGAAGCCTTCCAAAACTTGAAGAAGCTTGAAGGAGGGAGATGAGATGAGAGAGAATGGTTTTAAACTAAAAGAGGGGAGATTTAGGTTAGATATTAGGAGGAAATTCTTTACTCAGAGTGCAGTGAGGTTCTGGAACAGGCTGCCCAGAGAAATTGTGGATGCTTCATTCCTGGAGTCGCTCAAGACCAGGTTGGATGGGGCCCTGGGCAGCTTGAGCTGGAGGGTGGCAACCCTGACCAGGGCAGGGGGGTTGAAAGTGATCTACAAGATCCCAACCCAAGTCATTCTGTGATTCTATGACTCATTCTATGAGTGACAAGGGGTGTATCAAAGGAGCAAGACCTTACTTCCCTCTGACTGCACTGAGAAGTTGAACTTTACAAATTTCAGTGATGTGTGCATGTCTGAATAATTTACACATAGAAAACCAGTGGCAATGCGTACTGCATGGTCAAGATTTTGCAGTCTGTCAAAAATGGAATCTTAAGGAAAGCAAATCATTAAATAATAGTTTTAAATTTAAAAATCATTTATCTGTTGATGTGCTTAACTTGTGAAATATGTCACAACTAAATTTCAATCACACATAGTGAAGAATCCAAAGCTAGAGAAATGAAGCCCAATGATTACACAACCTAAGCATGTGGACCTTCATCAGCCCTGCCTAGTATCCTGTCATCCACACTGAAACTTTCTTGGAGTTTCAGTTTGAGCAGCATCAATGAGGATGATAAAATGAAGTGAGTGATGACACTATGATGCTTACAGTGCCTCAAAAACGTTCAAGAAGCTCAAGTGGAGGTGAGCTAAGAGCTAATACACACTGCTGCAGACCTTCTAAAATACAGTGGGAAGAAATGAGAGATAAGTGACAGGTAATCAGTCATATTGACTGAAATTCAGCACACATTTACAGTTCTTTTGACATGACTAGATTAGTTTTAGTTCTTAAGACTCAAAAGCTCTGGGACTTGATTCTCACTTTCAAAGGTGCTTTTCTGGAGTTTTCTTGTTTTCCCACAGCTGCAGGTTATTGGTACATCATCACTTAATAAAAAAACCTTTCAATTCCAATGAGAATAAGAAATGAAATCCATCATTGTATCTCGTGAGTAGAATAAGCACTAGGAAGTAACCCAGGTTAGTATCTAAGGACTTTGCATTCAAGCCAACAGCTGATCAGTAAATCTTATCTGAACATTTTTCTCAACTGTCACTCTACATGTACTGTGTGCATATGAGATTATCCTCCACTGATTCTTCTTTGTCTATATTCAATTCTGTTCCTTAAAAATACTGCATTGGAATTAACCTCAAAAACACAAATGTTACAGTCAACAATAGTGAAATAAAATCATTTGTCTTTGATCAAAATCTCTACTGTTTTCTCAGGGAAAAAAACTCAGCTGTGTATATTATAATAATATTTTGCAAACCTAAAGAACAAAATTAAACCAAATAAAAAAGATTTCCTTTAAAAATAAAACTAGTATGAATACTAGAGCTATTTTATCTTAAATTGATAAAAACATTTCAGGTTTTATCCTGAGAAGGTCATAAGGGCACCAATTTCTTTCTTTTTAAGAATAATTCAAAGCCAATGGCTCATCTTTACGTGTTAGTATTATAACAGTGGAGTAAGCAAAACACAGAATACTGTGAATACAGATACTCAGTATATTTAACCTATCACA